GCAAAATGTCTACAATACCCTTGTTATGACCTTTTTGGATGTATTTGCCTTGATTTGATTGTCTACACGTGTAAGAAAAATCCTATGTAATATACATTGTGTAATAGGTTTGTTAATGGGTGAACCACCTTAACGAGTCCCTTTCCGTCTGCTGGCACACTCAAGAACCTTGCACCCTCAATGAGTCCTACGTGTTTCTTTTTTACACGTCACCTACATGGACAGAGTATTAACAGTAGTCCCCAATTTCAAAATCTAACATTAATGTTGCGAACCTATACTACTTGTGGAATCCAAGAAAGTCATTTGCCGTCCCTACCTTGTATGACAAAGTAGTAACAATTACTAAGATTTTGGAAAAAAAAGTATCTTCCAATTAAAAGGGTTTCACATCATGTTAATAGCGCAGAACAAGTTAATAATCTAAAGAGATTTTAAACATATGTTGAAATGAATATCCTCAACTTTTTTTGTCCTCGTCAAGAGCATCGTTATGGCCAAGACATCGAGTACCAGGTCGTCAGTGGTCGGATCCGTAGGTTACTAAGAAAATTATTTAAACTTTTCAAAGTATTAAATGATTTTTTCTGTAAAATGCAATTAAACTTAAAATTTATTAAGTTACCCGTACTCGCCCTGTCTCCGACCAGAATACCAAATTAAACGGATAATCCCCGCCTCGTTCGGGGCGAGGTCCCACGGGTATCAAGTTTATTGGGGTTTTTTTTGTCATCCTTACTTTTTAACTATATATTTTTCAATGAAATAATATTACACGAAAATTCAAAGCATTTTCTTATTTTTTAACTACATATTTTCCTTCAATTTACTATTTCAAAATACATCCTACACAAAAAAAATAGGGTTCAAATATGCCCTAAATTACATGACCAATTTAAAGCACATAAATTGGAAAACCCTTAAAACGATGCGAATTTTACTTCCCTAAAAGAATTTATGAAAAACTATAGCCTTAAAAATTTGAAATTTATTGGTTGCTACAGGGATGGATTTGGGGGGGCGGGGGGAGGGGGGTCAAATTTTATTTTTTTTTAGTTAGAAAAAAAATTATGTAAAAAAAAAAAATCATGTATAATTTTTTTTACGTATTAGTCCGAGCCGTAATCCGGTCCTGAATCCGTCCNAATTATGTAAAAAAAAAAAATCATGTGTAATTTTTTTTTTTACGTATTAGCCCGACTTGTAATCCGGTCCTGGATCCGTCCCTGAATTGCCATATCAAATCTCACTAGACTTGACATCTAAACTTGCATAGGCACAACTACATCAAAAAGCATTTTACATTATCCTCATCATCAGAAAATAAAATAGGTTGCTTACTATGATAATAATAAAGATTCATTAAACTATCAACTGTATGAAAAATTAATCAAAGAATGCCTAGATAGTTTAAAATAATTATTGACATCTTTAACATAATGTTATATAGTAACCTATCATTGGTTTGTCTTGTCAACACCTATTATTTCATTCTATATGTCACATGCTTTCTAGTAAACTGGCATTATTCCGAATATTAATGCCAAATTCATCGTTTTTCAAAATCAAATAGGTTTCCGTTATTGTAATGCTATATATGTACCGAAATATAGAGGTGATGCTATCATAGCCCATAGTATTCTCTCCATGAGAAAGACTCCATACAATAATGAGCACGGCGGAGCTAGGGGGGTCCTGGGGGGACTCGGACCCTCCCCCTCCAAAAAAAAAATTTGACAAATTTTTCTTTTATTTTAAAATTTTATTTTTTGGTTCTTTTTGTATTTATCATTACCATTTT